TAGGTTATATGTAGTTCCATGTAAAAATATCTCATACAGACAAGGTTATTAAAGAATTTCGAATATATATACTAATGTATATATAATGTGTATATATATATAATACAATATATTAAGCAAATTATTCTCTAGGTATTCTAATATATAAAAATATCCTATAGAGTTGTAAGTGAATTCTTCTTGTATATATATATATATATATTCTATTCTATTATCTATATAGATATATATACAAGAATAATTCACTTAAAACTCAATAGGATATTTTTATAAATTATAATACTTAGAGAATAATTTGCTTAATATAATGTTTTATATATTATATATATGCATTATATATACATTAGTATATATATTTGAATTTTATGCTTTGAGAACACGCTATTCATTTCATGACATTGGAATTTTCATAAAAGGCTGACAGTAGCGATTCATAAATTAGCTTAGGATTATACATAAAGAATTTTGTAGATACGAAGAGAAATTGGGTTTCAATGAATCTCTTGAGATTTATCCGCCCTTATCTGGTGAGATCGACCAACTAATCTTTTTTTAATGCATTATTATACGAAATGAAAGTCCCCCCAAGAGAGAAGATTGTCTTGGGCTTCTGGTTGCCTTGAAAATCAAGAATTTTAGTATAGCACTGACTTATCGAGGTTGTGGTACAGTGTGCAGCAGTGTATTATATTTAAATAAGCGCTCACCACTCTACGGCAAGCTTCCTACTGTTTAATGTAAGACTAATTTATGAATCGTTTTAATTAACGTTCAGACGGAAAGAGCTCAACAATGACATGATATTAGAGGAAATGTTCCCTCTCTAATCAACTTTATAGAATTTTACTTGAAATCTACCTATTCGCGTTTATGATGGAGTTTTATTTATGAACTGGTGTTTAATTTATTGGGATGAAAGCAACGCCTGTTCTAGTGAAATTATTTTTTATTCTTTTTTAATGATGTAAACAAGTAGTGACCTAATGGTAGGTCGACATTAATTCAAACACAGGACAGATCATCTATCAGATTATTTTTTAAGTAGCTGACATAGTATAAAATTAAGTCAGAGAGTACACTCAATTGGTATTTACTCACAATTATAAATTTAACTCAGCAATAATATTTTTTTATAGTATCTGAACTGTCAAGGTAATTCGTCTTTAATAAAACCAGATAATTTCAAAATTATATGCTAAATAGTAGGCTACGTTCTACGAAATCCTTTCCCATATGTAGGTACGGGCAAAATTACGAATGCATGCAGATGGGTCAATTTATACTATTAAAAAATCAACTAATGTGTTTATTTTTTTTAAAAAAAGGAAGAAGGATAGTTTATTTAAAATGTGCGTTTACCTTATTACCATAAAAGACATAGGATGAATACACCACACATATATGCTAAACTGGTAGTCTCAAAAGCTTATTTATAAATACAATTATATAGTTTGTGCAAAGTTTTAAATAAGAGTTAGCTAATATTTTTAGAATTTTTAGGAGATCAATTTACACATTATTTTGACAGCATTAATACTAGTTCGTACCATCGAAAAGGATAGAGTTTGGCCCACTCAGGCTCTAGTGTCTAAAAGACACAATTCACTTAGTGCCTATATATTTTGGTATCTGTTATGAGTTAAAATTGTTGAATAAAACTGATGAAATTGGTATTATGTCGAAAAGATTTGTTTACTAATTGAGACATACTACTCAAATTATTATTATTATTGTATCGTCAGATATATTAATTGTCTTGCAGGCCCAAGGAACCCTCGCTTATATTCAATTTAAAAAAAAGTGGTTTGGCATATAAAAGACGCAACTAGTTTTTGTACTCTTTGTTTTTTACTGGTATTACAGGAAGTTATATGCCAACCTGAACGAACTTTGTAAACCAAAAATAACTTGAAATCTCGAACAGATAATAAGGAAATAGTGGCAGAAAAACACTGAGCGCATACTAAATACTTAATAAACTCTTCTTGAACCGGTTTTCCCTACCTCGAAATTGTCCAACTTACAGATTTCGTTGACATAAAACGTGACGAAAATGTGGTGTGGGACCATCGATAATAAATTTTCTTACAATGTTACAAGTCGACTTCCGATAACTTTTAGCGACATTTAGTCTTACCCTCTAAAATGCGTTCTTCTCCAGAATGGATTGCATTTTGGTATTGTCTGAGTCTCACCCGCACCTGTCAAGGTCATCTAATCCGAGTAGTGCAGCGTATGTTTTGAGCATCAAACCTATACACCACATTTCCAAGATGCTAATGAACTTTAGTGACTTAGTGAGCCCTAGTCATAACATAGTTGGAAGATTCACTATTAGTCCTTCACCGCCTTATATGACATTGGGTTGATGCAGTTCTTATTCGAAACTAATGTATAGTCTTGTAAAACTACTTATTAGGAATTTAAATGTTCTGTGTA